TGCCTCTTGAGAACGAGGACCAACCACCACAGAATGGTTGGGAAACCCACTGGCCCTTTACGAGGCAAGTGGTTTAGAGCGTTTTCTCTTCCAACACCCCTTCTTCCCCGAAGAGTTTATCACTTTCCCCCATTAATAAACACCCCGTCCCCCAGGCGACCGCCAGCCAACCAGGACGAATGAGGACCTCCCGCCACCGTCCCTGACAACAAAACAATGGTAAATCCTCTGTGGGGCAACATCTTGGATCATGATCGGGGGGGGGCAAACACTTTCTATGGGTTTTGGACAGGGACGGCGGGGGTGCCCGTAGATTGCCTGCTGCGCGCAGGGCCAGCATCCCTTTCAAAAACAATGCAAAATACACTTCGAGCCAAACTCTGAATCATGCGCAGGCACCCCACGATCACTGTGCAGTGGTTCTTGACTGGGACGGCGGGGTTGCTCGCATATTGCCTGCTATGTGCAGGCCCACCAGACGCTATGATGGCCACTCCGCCGCGATTGCGCACTGGTGTTTGACACAAGGGCGGTGGGGGCCGACATGTTTTCCGATGTGTACTGCCACGTCTGGCACACTCTGCGCGTGCCCCGAACGTGGCGCACCTGGCGCGGCTGGAGCATGCGGCACATGTGGTGCGCTGGGATCACGTGGCACACCTGGCGCACCAGGTGTGCCCAACACGCTTGGGCCACACGTGCACATGGCGCGCGTGGCGCGCCTGGCGCACCTCGCCCCAAAGCTGCGCACATGGGATCTTTTTAGCTGTCCATCCAAAGACTACCTGCACACGCTGCAGCTATGTGCTGGGAGAGCGGGTGGGAGTGAGCGAGACGCCTTGCTGGCGGGCAGGGTGTCTTGATTTCTGTGCCACGCCTGGGCCTCCAGGGTGCCTCGTGCACATGGAACCCGTGGCGCACATAGCATGTGTGGCGTTCTTAGGCGGCATGCAGAAACTCGGGTGTTACTTATGTGTTGGGGGGGCGGGTGGGAGTGAACGAGACGGCTTGCGGGCAGAGGGGGTGTCTTGACCCCTCCCCCTGCCCCCTCCCATTGGACCTGAAAGGGGCGCCCCACGAGGGGTCGAAGCATCCAACGTGGCCTCGCTGAGAAGGCCCAATTAGGCCCAATTCATTGATTATATTGTAACTGGGGCCCCCAGACTACAGGGGCCCCTGGACTATAAGCGCGCCTCCCCCAGACTAGAAGTACCCTCCGTGGACCACAGGGACCCCCCCCGGACTACACCCAGACGACAGGGACTCCCCCTGGATTTCAGGTCCCCCCTTCGAGACTTCAGGCACCCTCCAAGCACAAGTGCTAAGAATAGCCAGTGATAGACAAACGGCGGAGGTTGGCGCCTCTGTCTCGGACAGAGGCTCCTCGTACAGAGCGCGCGCGCGCGCTGCCGCGGAATCGCCGCGCGCCCGCCAGACGATAGCACTGCGCACTTGCTCGCGCATTGCGCGTTGTCTGCGTCGTGATCGTCGTGGTCGTGGTCGTCGTCGGGGTCGTGGTCGTGGTCGTGGTCGTGGTCGTGGTCATGGCCGTGGTCGTGGTCGTGGTCGTGGTCGTGGTCGTGGTCGTGGTCGTGGTCGTGGTCGTGGTCATGGTCGTGGTCGTGGTCGCGGTGGTGGTCGTGGTCGTGGTCGTGGTCGTGGTCGTGGTTGTGGTCATAGTCGTGGTCGTGGTCGTGGTCGTGGTCATGGTCGTGGCCGTGGTCGTCGTCGTGGTCGTGGTCGTTGTCGTGGTGGTCGTCGTCGTCGTCGAGCGGAACGTCAAACCACCAAGGTCAGCGCATCACCCCCGCGGACTACTGGACCCTGTCCCCCCGAGAACTACGAGGGCCCCGCCCAGACTACAAGGGCCACTCCGGAGTACAGGGCCCTCCCCCCAACCTACAGGGACCCTCTCCCGAACTACAAGGCCACCCCACGACTACAGGGTCCCCCCCCCGAACTATTGGCCACCACAAAGCTATTCAGGCACTCAGAGTACATGGACTTTGAACAAAATTTGGCCTCCTAGGCAGGGGGCGGGCGCTAATTGTGTACCCCCCCCTTCTTTGATCGATCACCTCCAAGATGGCCTCAAGATTGCCCCGAGGCTCCCGAGTGCCCCAAGAGGGCCCCAAGAGGCGACCTGGAGGCCCCAAGAGGCCCTCAAGACGCCCCCAAGATGCCCCCAAAAGCCTCCCAAGAGAACCCCAAGAGGGCCCAATAGGCCCCCGCGAGACACCTAAGACGCGTGACGAGGCCCCCGGGTCCGCCAAGAGGACTCCAAGACGCCCAAACAGGCCTACAAGAATTTCTCAAGAGATACCCTAAGAGACTCCGAGAATCATCCAAGAGGCCTCTGGCCTTCCTGTTCGCCCTCCTCCTCCTCCTCCTCCTCCTCGTCATCATCATCATCATCATCATCCTCAACCTAATCCTCCTCCTCTCCCCTCCCCTCGTCCCCCCTCCCTCCTTTCCCCCCGCCTCCACCTCCTCCTCCTCCTCCTCCTCCTCCTCCTCCTCCTCCCTTCCTCCTTCGCCTCCTCCTCGTCCTCCTCCTTCTCCTCCTCCTCCTCTGTTTCCTCCTCAATCTATCCTCTCCCTTTTTGGGTATGACAGCTTCCGAGCCTTTATTCCTCTGCGTGCAATCCCGCACGCCGGATTAGGGCAACTCGCCTGGGCATCGTTGCTGGCTGGGCAAACGGTCAACTCTGGCTCATCTTGTGTGGCAGTTGTGAATTCCGCAATTGAGAATATCGTCTTCGATGGAGACTCCGATCGGGACACAAAACGATGGATCTCACTGGGGCCTTCGGTGAGGCTCCCTATGGGGCCACGAAGCGTGAAGGATGCCAAAATTAGTAGCGCGGGCGCATGCCGGTGGAGCTCCCTATGGGGCCACGAAACGTGTGAGGGGTGGGCCGAAATGGGCGGCGCGGATGCACGCAAAAGTCGCCTCTGGGCCCTCAAGTGGAGCTCCCTATGGGGCCACCAAGCGTGTGCGGGGTGCGCCGTTATGGGTGGCGCGGACGCATGCAAGCGTGGCCACCGGGGCCGAGCTCACTACGGGGCCACGCGCCGTGTGAGGGGTGCGCCGTAGCAAACGTCGCCACTGGGACCTTGATCGGAACTCCATATGGGGCCACGAAGCGTGAGCGGGGCGCGCCCTAATGGGTGGTACGGACGCATGCGACCGTCGTCACTGGGGCCTTCAGAGTAGCTCCCCATGGGGTCACGACCTGTATAAGGGATGCGCCGCAATGGGTGGCGCGGACGCATGCGAAAGTCGCCGCTGCGGCCTCTGGTGGAGTTCCATATGAGTCATATGAGTCCACGAGCCGTGCGAGGGGTGCACCGTAGTAGGTGGCACGGCCGCATGCGAACGTCGTCAAATGGGCCTTGAGGTGAGCTCCCTATGTGGCCTCGACTTGTCTAAGGGATGCGCCGCTATGGGTGTCGCGGGCACATGCAACTGTTACATGACTCTGGTGCCTTTCGGCGCGATGATGGGCTTCGTGTACGTAGCTTCCACGAGTGGATCGATCTACCTCTCAGAAAGGGTGTTCCACGTCAACGTGCGCGCATGCAAACGTCGCCATTGGGACCTTGAGAGGAGCTCCCTATGGGGACGCGGCCTGTGTGAGGGGTGCGCTGCAATGGCTGGCGCGGGCGCATGCAAACGTCGCCACTGGGGCTGGAGCTCCAAAAGGGGCAACGAAACATGAGAGAGGTGTGCCGACATGTGCGGCGCGGGCGCATGCGACCGTCGCCGCTGGGGCCTTGGGTGGAGCCCCCGTGGGGCCACGAACCGTGTGAAGGGTGTGCCGAAATGTGCGGCGCGGGCGCATGCGAACGTCGCCACTGGGGCCTTCGGTGGAACTCCCTATGGAGCGCCGAATCGTGTGAGGGGTGTGCCGACATGTGCGGCGCGGACGCATGCGAACGTCGCCACTAGGACCTTCGGTGAACCCCCTATGGGGCCGCGTCACGAATGAGGGGTGTGCAGGACTGTGCGGCGTGGACGCATGTGAACGTCGCCACTGGGACCTTCGGTGGAATTCCCTATGGGGCCGCGAAGCATGTGAGCGCTGTGCCGAAATGTGCAGCGCGGACGCATGTGAACGCCGCCGCTGGGACCTTCCATGGAACTCCCTATTGGGCCGCGAACCGTGTGAGGGCTGTGACGGAACGTGCGGCGCGGACGCGTGCGAACGTCGCTACTGGGGCATTCGATGGAGCTCCGTACGGGGCCACGAAACTTGTGAGGTGTGGGCCGAAATGTGCGGCGCGGACGCATGCGAACGTCGCAACTCGTCGGTCCTTCAGTGGAGCTCCGTCTGGGGCCGCGAAGCGTGGGAAGGATGCGGCGAAATCCGTGCGCGGAGGGCCGAGGCAGGGATGGGGATCAGGAAGGAGAGAGGAGGAGAGGAGGGGAGCGACTTTCAGGCCGTCTTCGGGGGAGAATGGAAAGTACGATTCAGATCGAATCACCTTGGAGGAGAAAAGAAAGGTGGAAACGTGATGACGACGGGAACGAACAGGCGAGTAGGAGGGCAGAGCGGGAGAGGAAAACGGGGAAGGGGAACGAGAATCGGGAGCAGAGAGGGATGATGGGGAAATGAAAACTTGGAGCCCCCCCCTGCCCGCCCCACTCTCCCTCCCACTGGTGGGGAGCACGCAGGATGAGGACGAAACGGGGCGTGGGTAGGAGGGACGAGGATGAGATGAGGCAACACTGAAATAAAACAGAGAAAAAGCCAAGCATCGGTCAACCGCGCATGAAGGAACGCAATCAAGCATACAATCTAACAAACACGCCGTAACATGGGCAATCACACAAGCAACCATGAAATGAACACGCAGCGGGCAATTGGTATGTGACTGCATGCGCCAGCAAACACGGAATACATAACATCCCTCGACACCCCCCTCTTCTGAGGACGGGTCGCGGGGCGAGACAAGCCAGGCCTCGCACACAGACACATGATGACCGTTTACGGCCACGTGCAGGATGTTGTCCCCTGCCCGTCATCTCCCGCCGGGAGACCCGTCCCCACCCACCCCTCGCCTCTTCCCATACTCCCCGTCTCCTCCGTGGCATCCTTCCCGCCGCGCCAACCTCTGCCCCCGCTTCTTGGGAGCCTGCTCCCTCCACGCTCCTCCCTGTTCCTCCTGAAATTCCTTCTCTTCCTATTGGCTGGCACACCATGGCAAGTGCTTGCAATGCGTGTAGTGTTGTCTAGTTCCTTCCATTCACTGCTCCTCCGTGCCACTCCCCCGTCTTAGCGTCGCGCCTCTCTGCTTCCGCGCTGCGGCCACCCATCGGGCGCAATGGTTGACAAGCCCCGCTGCGATTCTTTCATGTTCACCCAGTCGGTTTCGACAGCTTAGCCTAATGTGCGTGACCTTCCATTTCAAGTTTCCAAAATCTGTCACACATTCTGATTCGGATTAACTGAATCACTTAATCGTTGCACTACGTTGCGCGAATTAGTGGCTCATGCATGTTCCCTACATGCTATTGATGTTCTTCGTGCCAAAGACGCCGCGGAGCGCGCACGCAATCACACACACACACAAAAAAAAAAAACTCGAATCGGTACCGCGCCAATCTCATTAGCTTCCCTGCTACGCTGCCTCATTCACAGGCTTCCTGCCATGCGTCCACCCTCGGCCCTGCATGCTTCTTCCCTCCTACATGCCACACAATCCCTCGGCCCGCCTTCGATTCCGTCAGTCCTGAAGGCCCAAGGATCTCGAGGGAATGTCTGGGAACTCAATTGGGTAAGGCACGTTGGCCCCATCTCGTGCAGCGCCGCACAATGCTGGTGCAGTTCGATTTCTGATGTCAGGTAGGCTTCCAAAGCGTATTTCTTAAAATGCGCGGGGACACCCTGTTCCGGACACTTCGACTGTTTGCCTCCTGAGATCCGGTGTCCATCGATATTCCGAATGGTGTTACTGTGCTGGCTCAAGCCTCTCCTCTCCTCCTGCTGCGGGCGATCTGAATTGCCTCGACGAGGTCGCCGACGCTACGTGGGCAGAAGGCCCGCCGACTAAGCCTACACTGCGGGAGAGCTGCACGTGCTTACCCTAAGCCATCAGATTCGTCAGCATGCCTGCTTCGTCGTCGTCCGCGTGGTCTGATCGAGCTCCAGGCGCTTCTGCTCGCGCCACTGCTGCGACGTCCAAGAACAGATCTCGATGCGTTTGCTCTTATCTGGTCCTCTCTTCTTCGCGATGCGCAGTGCGCTGCAAGTGTCGATTGCCCAGGCAGGCGTCACGTCTCCGTGCCATTCGCTAATCACCGACGCCAGTCCTAACGCGCACATCTCGCATCAGGGCCCCGCCGCCATGCCCGCGACAGCACGGTGCATCCGTAGTACGTCAGTTCACCGCCGCTGACGCCCCAGTCGCCCCTGCTGCCTGCCCAGTCTGCATCTGCACGTTACCGCGCGATTAGCTTGATCTGGTTGTCTGACTTCAGCACCAACTCCACGTCCTTCGCCCCTGCAAGGTACCTGGCCACCTTCTTTAAAACCACGGTGGTCTCTCTGAGTTGGTGCCGCCAAGTCACAGCTTAGCTCTCCAATGCCGTGCCGTATGTCAGCCCTGTGACTTGACGGATGTACTAATTTCCCCGGGTGCATCCTGTGCGCGCCGTGGCCTGCTGCGTTCAGAAACCCGTAGTCGTCCTTCTGCTGAACTTCATTCTTCGTCTCCAGGACGACTGCTGGGTTTTGCCGTCTGCATCCCGAGCTCCAGAAGCACGCCCTCGTTCAGATACGCCATGCTCATGATGGCATAGCCACCCTCGACAGTGCGGACTTGCATGCTCAAGGCAGTGCTCCCGTCGCCTGTGTTGCGCAGCTTAATCGCGTCAGAGAGCCGAGGCTTCTCGCCCATGTCCGCCAGTAGCTGGTCGACCGGCTCGCGGGGCAGTCGCGAGAAAGTCATCAGCGCGCCCCCCTGCCTTAACCTCGTCTTGGTTTTCATGGGGACGCAGCCGTCGCAGCGCCCTTGATCAAGACCCATCTGTGAGCCATCTTCGCTTCGCTGATCCCCCCATGCCTTCGGCGCCCCCTTCGAGCCCGGGGAACGCACGCGTCTCGCCCCGCGCCCAACGTGCTTGCGCTGACGATCCTGTCCTCCGACAGGGGCGCCCGGTAGAATTTCCCACCGCAGTCGCCGAGTGCCACCTCGTCGCCGTTCTCGCCCGCTCTTATCAGCATCGCCTTCAGGCGTGGTAGTGGCGGAACGGCGGCCACGAAGTTCTCGCGCGCATTGGTCTGCCGCTCGATTGCCCGCGTGGCCCACCTGCTCTTCTTGCTGCCGTCGGCCTGGTAGGCGCCCGCCCACTTGCCTGTCGAGATCGCGCAGGTCGCCTCGAGGATCGGAATATTCTCCATGATCTGCATGCCGTCGCCTGCGATCTTCTCGAGGTGCTCCGTCCTCTCATTGTGGATGTCGCCTCCGTTCGAGTGGACCTCGTCGCCCTCCACCGTGGGCTCCTCGCGCGTCTCGCTGGCTGCCCAGATCGCAGCGATCCGTGACTTGCTCCTGGCCTGGCCACCTCCGTCGTCTCCCAGCCGTTCCCGCGCGGTGGCCGCTGTCCCGGCCACTGGCGCCGCCCTCGCCGCCGCCGGAGCTGGCGGCGCAGAGCAGCTCGCTGCTGCCGCCCCCGCCGCCTGAGCACGCGGCGCCATGCCGGCGCCCATGGCAAACCGACGCCCGCATCGCGCGGCGCGCAGTCTCGCCCCATCGGCGTCCACGTCGTCGAATGACGAGGAGACACCTGGCGCCGCTGCCGCGGGCCCGGGAGCGCGCGTTGCTGCTGGTATACCTTCTTCCATGGTTCCTCTTCCTCCTGGTGGGCCTCCTCCTCCTGGTGGGTTTCCTCCTCCACGTGGGTTCCCCCCCCTGGTGGGGCCCCTCCGCCCGTTGGCGCCGCTGCTCCCGCCGCCTCGGCCGGAAGGGCTGGCAATGGGGCCCCTGCTGTCCTGGGGTGGGGCCCCAAGATGACCCTTTCCTCGATTGATCTCTGGGCGCGCGGCCGCCCCCTCAACGCCGGGGTCGCCCCCCCAGGCGCCCGGGCCATCCTGTCGAACGAGGCTGGGTCCCAGCATCCTTGGCTACCAGAGCAGACTGTGAGGATGTCTCAGGCGGGGCGCTGGTTTCAGCACCCCATAAAGGGGAGCCGCCAAGGGTTATCTCACGGTCCCGTTCGCGGCCGTTTTGTGGGGATGTCTCAAGCGGTTTGCCTGGTTTCTGTCCCATCATCCTTGGCTACCAGAGCAGATTGTGAGGATGTCTCAGGCAGTGCGCTGGTTTCAGCACCCCCTGAGGGAAGCCGCCAAGGGGTTATGACACGGTCCCGTTCGCGGCCGTGTTGTGGGGATGTCTTAAGCGGTTTGCCTGTTTCCTGTCCAAACATGCTTCGCTTGGAGAGCAGATCGTGAGGATGTCTCAGGCGGGGCGCTGGTTTCAGCACCCCTAAGGGGAGCCGCCAGAGGTTATCTCACGGTCCCGTTCGCGGCCGTTTTGCGGGGATGTCTCAATCTGTTTGCCTGTTTCTGTCCCGACATCCCTCGCTTGGAGAGCAGATTGTGAGGATGTCTCAGGCGGGGCGCTGGTTTCAGCTCCCCCTGAGGGGAGCCGCCAAGGGGTATGACACGGTCCCGTTCGCGGCCGTTTTGTTGGGATGTCTCAAGCGGTTTGCCTGTTCTCTGTCCCAACATCCTTCGCTTGGAGAGCAGATTGTGAGGATGTCTCAGGCGGGGCGCTGGTTTCAGCACCCCCTGAGGGGAGCCGCCAAGGGGTTATGACACGGTCCCGTTCGCGGCCGTTTTGTGGGGATGTCTCAAGCGGTTTGCCTGTTTTCTGCCCCAACATCCTTCGCATGGAGAATAGATTGTGAGGATGTCTCAGGCGGGGCGCTGGTTTCAGCTCCCCCTAGGTGAGCCGCCAAGGGGTATGACACGGTCCCGTTCGCGGCCGTTTTGTGGGGATGTCTCAAGCGGTTTGCCTGTTCTCTGCCCCGACATCCTTCGCTTGGAGAGCAGATTGTGAGGATGTCTCAGGCGGGGCGCTGGTTTCAGCACCCCCTGAGGGGAGCCGCCAAGGGGTTATGACACGGTCCCGTTCGCGGCCGTGTTGTGGGGATGTCTTAAGCGGTTTGCCTGTTTCCTGTCCCAACATCCTTCGCATGGAGAGAAGATTGTGAGGATGCCTCAGGCGGGGCGCTGAAAGTCTCCCAAGTCTGTCAGGTCTCCTAAGTCGCCCAAGCCTCCCAAGCTTCCCAAGCTTCCCAAGCTTCCCAAGTCTCCCAAGTGTCCAATGTCTCTCATGCCCCCCCTCCCCCCAAGTCTCTATAATCCCCCAAGTCCCGCAAGTCTCCCACGTCTTCCATGTCTCCCAACAGGAATACCAAGTCTCCTAAGTCTGTCAAGTCTCCCGAGACGACCAACTCTCCCAAGTCTCCCATGTCGCCCAAGTCTCCCAATTTTCGAAAGCCTCCCAAGTTTCCCGGGTCTCCCAAGTGCCCCAAGTCTCCCAAGTCTCCCAAGGCTCCCAAGGCCCCAAAGTCTACCACGTCTCCCAAGTCTCCCACGTTCCCCGAGTCTCCCAAATCACCCAAACCTCCCACGTCATCGCTATGACCTATGAGGAGGAGCAACGAAGAGGATGGGCGCAGATTCAATCGTATTCAAACCTCACGTTCACTCATGCTCACGCACATCGGTGTTTAACCGTCTTCGTCGGACCTGTCGACCACGTGGACGCGCTCTTATAGTCAGGCATTCATAAAGAAACGTTCACTATGGCATATAATAAAACATGAGATGCACATATGGGGAGCTCCACGCAGTGAGTAATTTCAAGCGTGGCGGGCCATCCAAAGTAGTTGAGGATGGCCCAAAGAGGCACGGATGCAAGGGTACTCTTGGAAAGGTTACCCATCCTCACCATCGGTTTCGACTGTGTTTGGATATCTCTGGAGCCACCTGGGTCTGTATAGATTCGAAATACGTAGAGTCACGCTGCATGTCAGACGGTCGGGGTATTTCTCTTAGCGCTTGCTGGCGGCGGGCCTGGCGACACTCTATGCCTTCCGAGCTGATGGCGTATCGCTCCGCTCTGCGTGGCGGGAGGCCAGAAAAAGGCTCGACTCGGAAGCGGTTGGCGTGTCGCGCCGCAGCGTGGTGGGCCAGAACTGGCGGAGCAGCTCGGGCCCGATCCCCGCAGGTCGCTCGGACGAGTGCCGCCCAGCCCTCAGGAGCCTGCCTCCGCCTGCCTGCCCCCGGGCAGTAGCGGAGCCGACGGGCCCTCCTCGCGAGCGCCCTCGCATCGGTCGTGCTGCATGCGGGCCCCGCTCGGGGACCTTCTGACCCGGGCCGATCCGGACCCGGGTCAGCAGGAAACCAAAAAACTGCAATGCAGGGGACAACAAAAACTGCCACGCAGGTCTTCGCAGACCCGGGCCGGCCCATCTGCGCGGCCGCCCCGCGGCCACGAGCGGCTCGCTCACCCGGGTCAGCCAGGAGGGGGTCTTCGCAGGGTCCTGCAGGATCCGGCGCCCTGGCTGGCCCCCGTTTGCATCGACCCCCGTCTCTTGAGCCTCGACCCGCTCCCGTCGGGCGAAGGCCGGCCGCTCTGCGGCTGTGCATGCGCCCCCGGTCCCCTCCCCGCCGGCTCTGTCTTGGGTGCTCACGTCGGCGGACGCCTCGGCCGGCCGGAGAGAGGCACCTACATCTGCAGTTTCTTCGAGATGGCGGCGACCAGCCCCGCCGAACGCAAGCTGAAGAAACCCAGGGAACCCTGACGAAACAGAGGGTGTTTCTTGACATGCGTCCCCACTGTAAGGCGGGCGTGTCCCCCTGCAGAGGGGTTTTCGACGAAAGATGAAAAATGCTCAAAACAAATACTCCCAAATAATCAAAAAATAATTTAAACAGATAGTCCCCAGACTATTTTCTGACTATTTTGGGACATCCCCCCTGTAGAGGAACAAGCCCGACTTAAACCTACATCCGACGCCGTGGGCGAGCACACGCACACCAGAGCGCTGCGAGGAGGACGCGGCCGTGCGCCTCGATGCAGAGGAAAGCAAGAGGTACAGACGCTGCGACTGCTCGCGGTGAGGCCCTCGCCGTCGCCGCCGCAGGTTACGCCAGGGGTGCTCCATACATTGCGCCATGAGGTTCGTTGATTACCGATCGTTCCATAGCATGCACCGTAGGCTGTGCAAACGAATGCGCCACAATTTTTACTATCGTTACGCCATGCGCCACTGATTGCGCTCTACGTTGTCCCGTGGGTCGCACCGTCGGACTACTCGCAATCTCGAAGCGAATCCAGCGGCGGCGACGAGGGCCTCCCAGGAGGCCCCAAAAGGGCGAACACGAGGAAATGGGTAGCAATATGGGCACCGTCAACCCGTCAGGATGCAAGGGCCTTGGGAGGCCATGTCGACGCTTTGCGAGCGGGGCGCGGCCAGAGAAAGCGGCCAAGGATGGGCCGAAGGGGAAGGATGCAAGAATAATCTTGGAAACTTGCAAGTCCTTCCTATGCAGGTTGACTGTTCATGTTCGGGAGGCGCGATAAATCGGGGCGGGGGGGGGGGGCGATTCATGAGAGTGCAGCGAGGGCCCCTGAGGGCCCCTAAAGGAACCCTTTTGGGGACCTTCAGGGCCCGAAAAGTGCGCCTCGCTCGACCCCCTCCCCCATCTATCGCAAACCCCCATGAGGCGACGCCCAAGTTTCCTCCCCTGAGATCCCCATTCCGTCGCGAGTTGACTGGCGACGCCCAGCGCCTCCTCCTCCTCCTCCTCCTCCTCCTCCTCCTCCTCCTCCTCCTTCCCCTCCTCCTC